GGGGGGGGGGGGGGGGGGGGGGGGGGGGGGGGGGGGGGGGGGGGGGGGGGGGGGGGGGGGCGTGATTCACAGACGGTGGTCATGACCTAGCCGAAAGAAAGAAGGTCGCGCTGCTGTAGGTCAGCCGATTCGTTGGCCAGACAATAAGATAGATTAGCAATGAATCCATAGCGTGAGCGAAATGCTACCTGTATGTCTACGGTTTCCCTGACAGCATACAACGATATCTCCCCTGTGGATAACAGGCTCAACAAGGCAGTTTGGTAGCCATCTTGTGTATCTATCGGTATGTTATGTTGGGAAGTTGTAGGCGGAAGATTTAGGGGAACTCGGTTTGTCGGGTGTTCTATAATGGCACCCTTATGTGTTTGTTTGCGGAGCAAGTTCAGCAAGCGCGTCTCGGGGTGTGCATATTTTCATCAACTTTATTTTTTTTGTGTGATGTAGACTATTGTTGTTGTTGTTGTTGTTGTTGTTGTTGTCTTCACATTAAAAACCGTTCCGATTTCTCTCTACCCAGTACCTTCGTATGTCCGTACTGATACAACACTCGACGCGGTCGATTCCCGTGGTCGCAGGCTAACTTATTCAAAAAGGTACAATGTATCGGGGCATGTGCGGCGCGGGAGAACATATTTACGTTTTTTTACTCTGGTACACTCTTTCTACCTGTAAGCTGTTTGACGCTATCTGATTGGCCAGGCGTTGGTTCATAGCCTTGACCCTCGCCAGCGCCCTTTCACCGTCCAGCATTAGCATCACGAGAACGCGGCTGCGCCGCGTTCTCGCCTAGTTCGCGGCCGCTAGGCCGTGCGTTGGCCGTGAGTAAGGGTTAGGATTGGGTCTGGTGAGGTCGGCCACGGTGTGTCCTAGCCATGTGTCTTAGCCTCCAACACCGGTTAGACGAACAAGACCGTAAATACTTGTAGTCTAGACCTCTTGGATACACAGAAGTCGAGGTTCCAATATAAAGTGCCAGTCCACCCGACTGCTGTAACGAGTACCGGTGAAATCGGCTGGCTCGGATTGAGCCTGGTTATACTAAAACCTGTATGTATCCCCTCTTCTGAAGAGCGCTGCCGGTGGGGAACCGGCCTGCTCATGCCATCCCTATATCGGGACCTCGTCACGTCATGCACGTGTAATGCCTCACAAAGAAGAAAAATTCAGATCACAACAGTTTTTACTGCGAAGTGACGCAGGAGGTGGTTTTGTTCCGTTCGTTCCTCACTCGAAAAGGACTTGCTTCCGAACAGAATCAAAACTTGTCGCTACCTTATCTGAGCACAGGTCAGCATCAGGTAGACACTGCTGTAAAATAACTTCGCTGGCGGCTTCTAGAACGCATATGTAGGAGCTGCGTAGCACCTGTGACATGCATCTCATATCTCGAGAGTAGGGCGGGGCAGTGCTTGTGACGTTGCGCGTACATTTGTAAAAATGCTACTCTTTGATGTGCTGTTCTAGAGGGTGAACCGTGGAATCTTCTGCTGCATGGAAAGGGAGACTGGAAAGCTGGAAAGCTGCCTCATGGCCCAACACAACCTGCGCCCTCCTTCCTTGGAGGCATAGACAAGATGCAACCCACACCACGCTCCACCCCAACCCGGGGCGCAACTGACATGGAACAAAAGAGGCGCATAGCAAACAGGATCCACTGCCGGGAAACGCGCGAGAGAAAAAGGTATGGACGCCTGTTGCACGGCGGCTGGCACCCACCCAGAGAGCGAGCGGGACCGGAAATATCATACCACTGCTCCTTCGTGCTGCTGTCGATTTCACCTGTTTAATGTAGATATAGTGTGTGGTGGTGCGGATGTGCACCAAGAACCCATCGTCGTGCCATTGGGTCGCAAAGTCCAACTGAAGCTGCTACCACGCTTGCTTGCTTTTATTCTGCTTCTTCTGCTTCTTGATCGGTGGGTGCGCTGCTGCTACGTACCGCAGACGGGCTGAAGCGCTCCTGAAGGAGGTAAGGACATATGTGAAGGGCCTTTCCGGTGTTTGGAAGAGGAGATGCACAATCAACGGCGGCGGCATGGCTTCTTTTTGGGATTGGGATCGGTGTCGGTCCAAAGTTCAAATTGCATAACTTGCTGTGATGATTTTCGGAAATATTCATCCGTGCAAGCAAATGTTTGTGAATTCCGAAATGATTTCTGAGGCGGCAGCCCCTTTCGGCTCGGTCCGCGTGCTCGACGGTGCTGCTGCGCTTCGCGACTGCTGCCTGTAGCGTTCTTTGTCTCTCTTGGTCGTGGACTGCGTGTCTTGGTGCTTCAGCCCGTAGGGGCACATCTATCTTTTTATTTCTTCGAAGAGAGGGATTTTTTAGGGTGAACATTTCCGCACTTCCACAAAGAAGAAGAATGCTGGTGGCCAAACCAGGCGCTGATGATGATGCTTATATCTGCACGACCGCGCCCTTCTTGCTATCTTGCTGGCTGATGCAGGAATGCCAGTCGAAATACCTCACAACCTACTTCTAACTGCGAAATAAATGAGACATGAACCGAATATGCACCTGCACCGCGGAACGCGGGAAACGTACACACACGCAACAGGGACAATGAAAATCAGAAGAGAAAAAACATGCCGCCAGCCAACCGATCAATCACGCACGGTAGATTACTCACGCTGTTTTCTGTGATCTCCTCTTAAGTACAATGCTAAGAAGCATACTTACTGTAGGGCTTTCATGAAGCCCTGAGAGTAAGGCAACGTTGAACGCAAAGAAAATCACCGAGGAATCCAACGCAACGTTTCATGTTCGTATCCGAGGTAAAAATCTATCGTGAAGATTCAGTACTTATTTGAATCTGTGGTCTGTGGAGGCGCGTTGGAACTCGGAAAAGCAGGGATCGAAGAAAAATAGAGCCAGCCTCGGTGTCAGAAAGTTTACAAGGGTCGGTTTAGTACAGTCTAGTGTGTAGCCTCGCAGCCTGCTAAGGGCCAGGTCATGGGTTCGAGTCCCGGCAGAGAGTTTTTTCTCACTAAATAAACCCTGGTCTAGGATGAAAGCGACGCGCTGCAAAAAAGCTCGTTTGTTAGTAAACCATAATCGACTTCGTAAGTCACGAGGGAGATTGCTGTATGTACCCTTCTCGCGATAAAAGTACCTCAGGCATGAACCGCAGGAGGGGGTCCAACCCCCCCCACCTATNCGCTGCAAAAAAGCTCGTTTGTTAGTAAACCATAATCGACTTCGTAAGTCACGAGGGAGATTGCTGTATGTACCCTTCTCGCGATAAAAGTACCTCAGGCATGAACCGCAGGAGGGGGTCCAACCCCCCCCACCTATCTATGTGACCCCGGTTGGGTCGTCTAGCTAGTAGAAGTGGAAGATAGGGGCCAGAGGGGCAGACCACAGAGTCCAATGATGGGAAAAAAACAAAAAAAAACTACATACTATTGGTACTTTCAAGTAAGCCCTGAGGCAAAGCGCCGCAGGCAAAAATTTTTGGGCTAAGGCAAAATTTAAGGCACTTGCCTTAGTTGCCTTTTGATGCCTGAGGCGTGCCTGAGGACATGCCTGAGACTTGCCTGAGGAGAATTATTGCCTTAGATGCCTTAGTTCATGCCTGGCGGTGCCTGAGAAGGTGCCCTAGACTTGCCTGAGGGCCATTCTCGCCACATTGTTTTGTCTTTGGTGGGATGAACAGCGTATAAGTGGGATGAAACAAAATGCGATGCCCTTGTGTGGACTGCCATTATATAGAGAAACAGCAGAAGCTTCAATCGTCACTCTTTTTTCGTGGTCACACCCAATTTTTACCGTATCCCTTTCCGTCAAAACCTCTGCTCCTACTAGCGACCGTGCTTGATGTCTGTGACCTTAGGTCTGCCTCCACGTTCCATGTTTACTCCTAGATGAGTAAAAAATGACACCCAGAAAACCCCTAGAGAAGAAATCTTGAGGAAGAGTGCTGAGCTAGTTCACGATGTCCTCTGCGCAGGTTAGACCAGAGGAAAATGAATCGACCCCAGACACACAAAACAATTAGCCACGTATATCAAATGGCCGCTACACTACCTACCATGAAATGAATGGCGCCCAATATCAAGGTATTACCCCCGATCCCGACCTTGACGTTCACTCGTCAAATGTCACACCATTTAACGACTGCACTGCACTTGTTTGGGAAGCACTTTCAACCTACTGCTCGAGGCTTCCTAGTCGTCTCTACCTCCCTCCTTGCCGGGACCCGGCACCCCCCGTGGTCTGCATGTAGTAAG